CCTAGTACTACCACCCGAGTACACGGAATTTATGGCTCGGTAAGAATATCTACAATGAGCCCAAAATCATCAAAACTATCAAGATTGTATCCTAACATAATATAACCAAAAAGATGTAACCGTTTGTCCTTGATATTAACAAAATTCCTCTTAATACCCTAAAAAATTCTATTGTTTCTTTCTTTTCAAACAATCCAGAATATAGTGAGTGGAATTAGTCGGACGCACTTGTTCTTGAAAGTGAGACCCTCCTAAGCGAGAAGTTCAGCCTTGATGGAGTCTGCTATAACCTAGTGAATACCCATTAAATTGTAGAGGTCAGTCCACAGACTGTAAGTGGTTGGGCACCATAATAGAAGGTGCCTGTAGCTTTCCAAGTTGGATTTGCATAAGGGGCATCTATTAACCAGTTGGAAACCTCTCTTCATGAGATTGTCAATGGTCAAGATGCGTTCTTTTGCAGCCTCCCAAGTGAAGAAGGAGATTCTAGGTGGAACTTGCGACTTTCATATGATTTTACTAGGAAAAACATACTCATTTCCATTTGTGGAGCCCGTCAGATGCTTATAAAGAGAAGTAACTGAGAAAGTGCCATTTTTGTTTAAATTCCATATGAGTTTGTCATCGTTAAGGTTCAACTGTATATTAGCAGTAACTTCAGTTAATTCCATGTATTCCACAATTTTCCAATCTTGGAGATTATGATTGACAACCACAGCACCCGGAAGAGAAGTGTTACCTTGAAATAATTCTTTAACTAGGATATCCTTGTCGCAGGCGATAGCAAATATGTTGGGGAAATGAGATTGGAGGTTGCTGTTTCCCAGTCACACATCCTGCGAAAAACGAAATTTGTTGCCTTTACCGATGACCCAAGTGGAGCAGTTCTGAATAATATGATTATGTTGCATGGAACTCTTCCATAGGCTTATTCCATAGTTGTTTCGGTTTAATATAGTCATATTATGTAGACCTTTGCTGAACCATTTGCATTCAATGATATTTTTCCAAAGGCAATTTGTGCTGTTCCAGAATTTCCAAATCCATTTACAGCGTAATGCTTTGTTAAGTGTCATTAGGGACCTTAATCCCAGTCCACCTTTATCTTTAGGCTGTTTGATATCTTCCCAACTGACCAAGTGAAGC